TTCACCGGGCTCATTAAGTTTCTGTCTCTTCGCCGTTCGCTCTAGTTCTAGCTCTCGTTCTCTCTTTTCAAAAGCCGGCTTCTTCACCAGTTCACGTTCCCTCGCTCTCTCGCTTCGTTTTGCCGCCGCTTCTTTATGATCTGCTCGATCAGTAGCTTTCTTGTGTCCCAAAAGCAATGTCGGAACCCAGTCAATATTAAATTTATCCCAGCTCTTAGCTGCCCTTCCTGAAACAAAATGCTTTTCGCACACACGATCGTTTTCTAAGATCTCTTCGGTCAGATCGTCACGGCTTATCGCTGAAATCCAGCGCGATCTTCTTTCTTCGGATAGTTTCTGTGCCTCTTCGCCTTGATTTGTGACCACAGAAGGCACCCTTGCAAAGTACAACCCTTTATCTCGTCCACTTTTGCTTCCACAACCAACGATCAGACACAAAACCATGTTCCACGCGAAGGACGCTACTAGTTTGTTTACAATTGAGGTACACCAATATGGCGGCGTAGCAACGGTAGTCAAGGAATTGGTCACGTGAGTGAAAACGATCTATACAACAATATCTACCCCTGGATAGCATTACACTTCTCGCTACTGCAGTTTACATCACTATACAGCGCTATACAACAATATGTACCCCTAGATACCACTATACTTCACTCTTCTGCACTCTACATCACGATACAGCGCTATACAACAATATCAACCCATAGATAGCATTATACTCCTCGCTACTGCAGTTTACATAACTAAACAGCTCTATAGAACGATATTTACCCCTAAGTAACCTTGATCGGCATAACAGAATACATACATCGAAATTTTCCATGCTTTGTGTCTTTCTCCAAGGTTCATTAAATACTCGATGAAAACCTTTGCGTCGTTCAAAGAAAACGCAGCATTTTCCAGCGCAGTCGTGACTCGTTTGACGTGAAGACACAGAGATGGCGAGTTGATTAAGGCTTTAAATTTCAAACTCTTAAAGGCGGGAAATATTTCTGAAACAAAATCATTCACGAACATCACTATTAATTCTGAATAATGTAAATTGATTCACGTTTACTGTAGATAATAAATTTTACTCCCATTTTGCCAATCATACAAAGAAATCAATACACTAAGCAATGCCTTCAACAAGACACAGTTACACAGTTGTAAATCTCCATCCTCATCCTCAGTAGAACTATGCTATCACAAAGGTGGAATAATCGCGGAAGAATAACCGCGCTTAAGACCTTCCTATATACCGAGGAATTCGTGCCACTGGATTCGACATGTGCCAGTAACCTACTTTCACATTTAACGTGACGTTCAGCTAAGATCAGGAAACTGTTTCTTTTGTTCTTCATCACAAACGATTCCAATCCTAATAGTGGTATCATATTTGCATAAGAAAGCTAATATCAACTCGAGACTCTGCATTAATTTTTTTTGATGAAATGAAACAGAACAAACCAGAGATACCACGTACTTAAAACACTAACCGTTTAAACATTTTCTTCCACATGACGCTCTTAACGGGCTCAACGAGCTGCCAAAATTCTCTTCAAATCCGTTTTCGTTCGTGTGATAGCTTGACTTCTATTTCGATTTGACAGTTCAGTTCGACAGTTTGACTGTTAAACCTTAAATGAAGATTTGTAGACACCAGCTGAATAGATTTATGAATTTGCTTAACGGCGAATGAACGCATTGAAATCAAAATTGATTTTCTTTAAGCTCAGCTCACTGAACTACAAGTCTGCTGTCAGATGATTAACGTGGACGCTGTTTAAGGCCCTTAAATTTCTCATTTCTCAATGCGTCAGCAATTGAAATTATTTTCATGAAACTGGGACGCATTTTGTGACACAAATCTTGGCAATAACTGGTGTCAGCCGCAAAGGTACAACGGACGATTACTGGTCATTCTGATTTTTCGGTCATTGCTAACGTAGTGCTTGTGGTCATAAGCATGATCCTAAGCAGACCCTTGCAAAAGTTTCACCATAACTGCAGAGACCTGGAGATTTTCTCTTGATCTTATCTTAAGAGATTTATTTCAAATACAAATGGACAAGTCGCCTTTGGTGAAATGAAATATTCAAACAAAAATGTTTATACAATTCAGCTGTGTAGCCAACCTTGTTGAACTGATTCAAGAAAAACACGAGTGGCCAAGTGTTAACTGAAATGGTTCAGTGTCGAAATGAGAAACGGTTCAGCTAACTGTACTTTGGTGACTTGACACAAACGGTTCAGAGTAGTGTGAAATGGCTTAAGTTATCGGCAAATGGTTAATCGTAAGCCGCAATGGTTTAGTATCGAATCAATCTCCTCACTGTAAAGTGAAATGGTTTAGCGTGACCTCAAATGCTTTAGCGTGACGACAAATGGTTTAGTACAAACCGAAATGGTTTAGCGTTACAACAGTTGGTTTACGCCGTAACCGCCAAAAATACAAAAGGGAAATAGGTAAGTCAAGCTTGAAATGAAACATTCTATGTGGGCCTGACGTCACAACCTACGTCATTCAGATCCAATTTGGCGCGAAATTCGCCAGAACGAGGTATTTGCCACGCCCTCCACTCGACGTTCACCACGTTCACGTTCCACGTTCACGTTCACGTTATTTCTGTAGCCTCGTCGTCCTTGTCCATTGGACTCAAAGAGCCTCACTCCGGTAATAACCTTTTTCACATTTGCCTATTTTAGCTGGTTAGCGAATAAATTTATACCCTCATCATCTTGCCGCAATATCAGTAAGTAAATGATATTTCGGAACAAAAGGAATAACAAAAATGCATCATTTTACGCGGCAGCACATTTACCGTCTAGACAGTAGGAACCATAGCTAGGAAACGTGATAAAGAGATTCATTGTTTCAAAACAACGAAACTACAACTAAAGGGCGCCTAAAAACTATACAGTTTTTATAGTTTTGAGGCGCCCTTGAGATTCTTATCCTATTCATTTTCAAGCTTGACTTTTCCATTTCACTTTTGTATTTTTGGCGGTTACGGCGTAAACCAACTGCACCAACCGCTGTAACACGAAACCATTTCGGTTTGTACGAAACCATTTGTCGTCACGCTAAACCATTTGGGGTCACGCTAAACCATTTGGGGTCACGCTAAACCGTTTGGGGTCACGCTAAACCATTTCACTTTACGGTGAGTAGATTGATGCGATGCTAAACCATTGCGGCTACGATTAACCATTTGCCGATAACCTAGGCCATTTCACACCACTCTGAACCGTTTTTGTCAAGTTGCTGAACCAAAGTACAGTTAGCTGAACCGTTTGTCATTTCGACACTGAACCATTTCAGTTAACACTTGGTCACTCATGTTTTTATTGAATCAGTTCAACAAGGTTGGCTACACAGCTCCTCAATTGTATAAACCATTTTTTGTTTGAATATTTCATTTCACCAGATGCGACTTGTCCATTTGTATTTTAAATAAATCTCCTAGGATAAGATAAATCGTTCTCCAAATGACAATTAGACTCTATCTGTTATTACAAACCAATTTTATTTTTTGTATTTTTGGCGGTGACAGCCGCCCATATGTGGGCTCTTCTTTCAATTTCAGTTGGAGAATTTCCAGGCTTCAAGTTTGCACAGATTTATGGCCCAAGTAACTCCCTGTTTCATTTTCACAACGCGCAATTGCGATTCTCCGTTCCATGACATAGCTTTCGAGTCTTTCTTAGTACTTTCTCTGTCTTAGTGACTTTGAAACATTTTCATGACGGACTGAGGAAGCAAGGTCGTAAAATAGTCAAAGGTGCCTTCCATTTCCGCGACAGAGGTAAGAACGCATGGTTGTATCAGATTTTTGAGTGTAAGGTAAATACTTTTATTTTAAATTTTGTTAAGGATATCGAACAAAGAACAGCCTTTTTGTTGATTAGATCAATTGTCAATTACTTTAATTTGCGTGCCTAGTTACGATCTTAGTTACAATGTTTATCTTTTTCCCTATTGGTTTGAAATCGGATATTTTAGCGTCACCACGCGCATATAAAAAGCTAAATTAGCGTCCCTATAGGCCAGAGTTTCGTAAGATTTCACCTTGAACAGCAGCAACTTCGTTCCTTCGTTCCAAACCTTTGGCACAAGCGGGACCGATATGTAAGTGATTTTGTTAGTTTTATTTCAATATGTTTAAGTTTAGTTTTTCACCTTGGGCGATAGCGCACATATGTACTGTGTTGTACAACAGTACAACTAATTATCTTGAAATCGAAGGAATATTTTGAAATAACTAGACGCTCACACAGTAACGCCCACATTTTAGTCTTTGGGCTGTTAATCAGCCGCAAATGGTCATTGTGTAGCTGATCTTTGATTCTCGAGTAGTTTTAATTTAGCCTTTTATGATTTGTTTATGTTAATTCACGTTGATTGTTGTTATTTTAATCGCGTTATCGACATAGGCACGTAAAGCGTTTCATTCATGCTTTCGTTATAATGTTGTTGCAATTTCAGTTTACGATCGTGATCGTGACCGTGATCTAAATAAACACCGTTGATAGTCATCTTGGTTTTCGTGGTTTCATTACGACCGGTAAAATAGTTCCCACATCAGCGACAATTAGAAAACACGCATAGCGACACCCCTCGAAGTTCCTCTTTCGTCGCAAGCGTCACAAATTTTTTTTTAGTTGAGATTTCCTCCTCCAAATGTTCCTCATCTTTTCGAACTTTCTCTGATTTCCGACAATGAAAGACGTTCCTGCAGTTAAGTGACGACGATTGCCACTTCGTGTTAGTTACAAGGTTATTAAGCTGAGCTTGTTTGAACAAGTTACAGCTGTCGAATTCAAAAAAATTCGCAAGCAATGCCTGGCATTTACCTTGGACAAAATAAGTAATTCGGGAGAGTTACAAAGGATATCCAAATTATCGATTTGATTCAGTGCAAGCTCTTTTGATCACAACACTTTCAGTTTTGTTTGCGTGTCGTTACCTAGTTTTGTCATTTGCTTCAAAAAGAGGTAAGAACAAAGCATCCACATCATTCAGCCCGATGATGACGGAGATTACAAAAAATCTTTGTGTACAAGATGATTGAGGTTAGCAAATATAGTGATATGCCTATACGGCCAAGCCATAAGGTTATGCGGTAATTTAAAAAATACAACAACCCGGCGAAACTTGAGAAAACCCAAAAGATGGCTACAATGAGATATGTGCGCTTCAAAGTTACAGTATGTCTGTATCTCAGCCCCAACATCAGGGCTAGAAGCCTGTCCACGCTTATGGCCGTCATCGCTGACAAAGACACTCCGCATAATGTATACCCTATTATGTAGGCTGCGTCCCTTGCGTATCGACAGAGACTCCAGTGTTCGTGAACCAAGGACATATAGTAAGTAACCGTGATAGACTGGCTAAAAATGCCAACCAACAGGTCAATTGTTGCCAGACAACGATACAAGAGTTTGGACGGCGGGTGAAGGGAAGATTCCTTAGACGGCGGGTGAAGGGAAGATTCCTTATGAAGGGCAACAAAGATAAGAGAACTCCCCAGACTGATTATGATGGAGAGGAGAACGTAAACTGCTGAGTAGTAGATGGACTGTGGTTGAAATCTATTTACCAAAGAAGGGGTGCTCCATCTTCGGTTAGATTTGTTTCCGCTATCATTCTGTAGTCGTTTAGTTTTTTCCTTCAGAATACGTGTGATCGCAAAAGGAAATATTTCGTCTTGAGAGCACCTGCCCAGCGTTGATCACTTAAACTTTACTTTTTTTCAGAATAATCATATGAAAACTTTTTTCAGTCGCGTTTACTTGTTTGAAATTCTCGGAAATACTGTCAATTCTGTACAAAAAAAAAATGGTGAACCAATTTTTCTTAAAGCCTTACTTTTGCCTCAGCTATGATTTATCGAAACGAGGTAAGAACAAAACATCTGAGAATGTTAATATTTTATAGCGCGATAGACAATCCTTCGTCGCTCAGACGAACAATTATTTTATTCAGGTATAGCGCATTTATTGAAAACGAGAGACAATGCTTTGTCAAAAAAAATTATTCGTCATTTAATTTCGTTACTCAATAATCACTTTCTTCGCTTTTTCTTCAGGTTACTTATAATGGCATGTAACGAGAGATATTTTTGTCTTGAAAGCGCCTGCCAGGCTGCAATCACGTAGACCTTTTCATTGAAACTTTCTCAGTAATGCGGTTCACTTATTTAACATGCGAATACTCCATGCTTCTTCTGTCACATGAGCTGTTAATTTCTTCCCAGGAGTCGCATTAAATATAGCTTTTTGTAAACTTCTTTTTAACGGGTAATTCTGTCATGTTATTCCATCAATAAACTCTAAAAGTTCCCTCCAAATTTAAGAAAGGTTTTTTTTATAGCAAATTTCCCTGCAAATTGTCTTTGTCAATTAAGAGAGGCTGGATGTTTGTCGCCTAACTGCGTTGCGCGTCACAACTACATTACATGTTTATTCAACTTGGTATGTTTAATCTTTGAATAACTTTGCGCTAAGAGGTAAAAATAAAATAATTTCCTTTTTTTATCACTCACAGTATAAGGCAAAAACTGTCCCTACGAAGGAAAAGTGACTTTGACAGAAAAAATGAGTAAGTGTTGATAGAAAGTCTGAAGAACAACCCGAGGAAGACCTGACTCAGCGATGTGTTTCTTTAATTGTCTGCTTCACTTTTTGTCTCACTTCACTAATCTTCCAGAATTAGCAGTTTATTTAGATATACTGTCATTCTTTTGGGACGATGATTAGGTGGTAAAAAACGTTTTCTGCAGCGTGGTTAATTATCAATTCCAAAAGAGGTTTATCAAACAACTTTAAAGAAATAAAGAAGCGAAAATCAGGAATAATAAATCGCTCGGAAGTGGAAGAAATGGATTCAATAAAACTTGAATATATTAAATATTTTCAAACGTCGACAATATTTTTCATGCAATATTGTCTCCCTCCCCCCTCCCCCCTTAATTTAGGATTTAAAAAAAGTGACCGATCGGGAGGAAAACTCTGTAAAAACCATTTACAGTCAGTTTCATTTCGCACCCTTTGGTGATTGCGTTACGCACAGGAAGCCCATGAGCGTGAGAATGCTTACTTCACCTTCCCCTTTCTTGCTCGGCGTTGTTTGAAATTGCTTCGTTTGCTAAAATGCCGACATGTTGCTACTCCGAGCTCGTTGGTGGTTCTTGTAGTTCCCGCTAGACCAGTGGAGAAAGTAAATGCATAGTCCTAACTAAGTGCAAAAGAGACATCCAAGGTCATCTTAAAACATATAAATGCCATGATGCTCAGCTGAAAAGTGAGTTCATTCTTCTTCTCGGCAGAGCAGGTAAATATCTCATTATCAAACATGTCAAGAATGTTTAGCGAAGGCAAATACTGTATCCCTCCTGCTTTTCTATTTTGCACTAAGATCAATGAGGTTATAACGTGACACAGTTCAACGCCCTTGATTTTATCTTTGCTTTAAGATTTATCTCTTGAATCCACATAAACGCTTGAATACAAGACAACGGGATGCCAGTCAGCATTATATGTTGTCATGAAATATAAAGCATTGGTCCATGCCTACAATTTATTTATTTATTTATCTATCCATTCCTTCCTTCTTTCATTCCTTCATTTATACATTTATTTATTTATTTATTCATCCATTTATTCATTTATTTAATAAGTACACATATTATATAACTATTATAAATAAGATCCATTATATTTACATTATTATACGAAATGGGTCTGGGGGAGGGCCGGGGTTCGCATTGAATTGCACACCCTCTACACCAAACTAAGTTCCCATGATATGAAATTTCGTTTGTTTGTTTCGTTGTCTTATGTTTTTGTTTGTGTGTGTGTGTGTGTGTGTTTGTTTGTTTGGTTTGCTTGTTTCTTTTGCTTTCTATTTCTATCATTCTGAGTGAACAAGTAAACGACTTCGCTCTTTCAGGTATATTTGAAGTCGAGGAAAGGCATAAAGAACTTTCAATTTGTCCCAGACATAGAGACGACTTCGGGACTAGATGGTTATGCAATAAAAAAAAAATGCTCTTGTCCATCGGATTGGGCTCCACATGGGAAGTCTTCTCGGGAGGTGATCGAGGCATGACTCTGCAACAGTCTCAAAAGCTTTATGCTTTAAAATCTACACTTGTTCCGGTGGGGGTCACGTGAGTATACATCAGAATTCCATCCTGACCGCCACCTTGATAAGAGATAGTATCAGGATAGTAGAAGAGAAAACTACCCTCATTGATAAAAGCAAAGATACTCTATGTGCAAAAGCTGACAGAAGGAACAAGAACACAACCTCAAATGGCCAGCTTTACTGTACTGATGTCAAGCTCGACAAAACTTTCGGAAGGCTGGGCACTGAGGGCGTCTAAGAAATCAAAGCATTTCAACGAAAACCAAAAAGAATTATCTCGATGAAAAGTTCAAACTTGGCCAGGAGACTGGTTACAAAGAAGATCCATCCCAAGTTGCGAGTGATATGCGTCGCGCTAAAAATGAAAACGGAGAGCGTCGATTTGCTGTTGGCGAGTTTTTATCACCACAGCAGATAAAGTCGTACTTCTCAAGGTCAGTAGCAAAGATCAAACAGGCGGAATCGGTAGCAGAGATCGATGTACCAGCCATTGATGAAGAAATGACATACTCCTCAGCTCACGAACAAGCTTACTCGTTTCATTATTTCTTTCCTTCAAGATATATGCACATATTTCCAATTGGAAATTGATTCCCTTCCTGCTACACGAAAAGCGCCATACGTTCGTCTGATCAACGAACTGATAAATCCGTGTACGTGCAAAGAAAAATAGGAACTTTCCAGCTGGAAGTGACCATAGTCTTCGTATTCAGAAAGTAATAACTCCTGGAATAGAGGGACACCAACATTATTCCAACTGCTTCGAGAGAAATAAGTACAATAGGAGCATATGCGTCGTACACAGCTACGATACGACATTATCCCTTTGTAGCTTTGTTACAAGAAAATTGGCAGTGAAAACCTCACGTTTACATACACATGTTTTAGATCGAAAGGATTTTATAAAGACTAACCTTGTTCTGTTAAAAACGTTGGTCATCTTCTGTATCATTCTCACTTAATCGACTTCCTGTGTGTAACGCAATCACATGGATAAGTTTTGAAAAGGGTGGAGCGGGCTAAAGTGCATGCTCTTGGCATGGAAACCACTTCTAAAGGTAACATTTTGTGTAATTATAGCCTGGGCAATTCCTTCTGATGTTAAAAAAGTTTTTGTTATCGTTGGGTTGGTATTAGTTGCGAATATGACCGTTGTAACAACATAAACCAGCAATTTGCATATACTAGACTATCGAAGATTGCCCAGATTGCCTTGACTTTTGGCTTCAGGAGAAAATTATATGTATATTTAATATGAAAGAGACCTGTTTCGAAGTTTTTATATGAAATAAGAGGGAATTCGAGTGTTTTGGTAATGTTTTTCTTAATATGACGTGCAAGTCACGTTGGTCACGTAACGCGCCTCTAATATAAATCGCTCTAAAAATTAGTGGTTTAAATAGCCCAAAAATTTTATTGCAGTTTCTAAAAGAAGAAGCCTTGTTCTTGACAATGATTATTGTCTCATGGTCAGTTTATGGAGCCATGTGATAATGGCCGATTTTAGTCGCCAAAGTTGAGCTATGTTTTGATGGATGAAATTTCACCTGAATTAGAAAATTTGTAAAAAAAATCGTTTTTTCCAGGAATCTTGGAAAAAATACTTCAGAACCTTTGAAAAATATCTCTTGTTTTAGAATTGTTATGTTGTTTCCGAATTGCTGGTGAAATAAGTTTTTTTCGGCCATTATCTTTAGGTGCACTGTTTCACCGGGAAAACACGGTTATGAACCCCCAAAACACAAAATGCCACCGTTCTCCCAACATAATTTTTTTTCGGCATTTTTGATATTTTTCCATAACTAAGGACAGTTATACCTATGTTCTGGCAAAGTTTGAAAAAATTTCAATTTTTTCATTTTCAACACCTCTGCTCGATTTTCACAGACGACCACTCTTACACCACTTTTTAAGTTTTATCCAATGCTTTGATATTGTTTACAAAGGATTAATTCGTTTGACGGTCTTCACTGCGGACTCATTTTAGCTTTTCAGTTTTTCGAAGCAAACGGTTTTGATACATCTGTTGATGTTCGCTAAATGCAGTCTTTAAATCGAACTAAACGCTCAGCGTCTCGCTCACCTAGAAAAACCCACATGGTCTGTCTCTTAATTAGCAGCTTTAAAACGAGCTTTAGATTCAATAGACAATATCATTCGTTACCTACATCTGCACTGTGTCGTTTTGGTCGACTGAACTGTTCAGAGGAAAATTTTCCGGCAGATTTCTTTAAAACTTTCACATGTGCATCATTGTCAACCGATTCGTTCAATGAAAACTCGAATTACCGGAACTCCAAGAATGCGAAACAAAAGCCCTGTTTCAATTTTTTATGTCAGGTAGGATTTTAACAAGCGTACACGTGCGTTCGAGAAGGTAGAGCCATTATTTAATGAGAAACTGAACAAATTTATAATATTATTAACTCAGTATAGGCTATTTAAAGCTCGTTAACTTGTACTTTGTAAAATATATCGTTAATTAATTCAAAACATTCATGATAATCCGTGTAAATGTTTAATTTAATGAAGGATCGATCGGCACTGGAGCAGCAACCCTCTGAAACCGCATCCCGCGTAGTCTTTAATAAAAACTGTTATAGTCAATTTTATTTCATTTCGCTTTCTTGTAATAACATTCATGAGAGTATAATTTAATTCAAGGGATTATAAGAGATTATATATCCTCTTGTGCACGTATATCTTTCCTTGGATTAATAATTTATGTACTCAAAAAGAAGTTTAGTAGCATGAAAAAAATATTTTTTTAAAAGTTTTTGGTTTGTGTTTCCATTACCTTTCCTTTATTTTGTTTTACGTGACTAGCAAAAAAAACTATCGACAGACCTCGAGCAAAAATTTAAGCGACAAGCGTTCTCTATCGGTTAGCTTTGCACTGAAAGTACTTATACGATCATATATAACTCGAGGATGGTCTAACTCCATGGACAGCAAAGTGCTTGTCTGATTGTCTGCTTCATTGCTCGTCTTACCTCGCTAATCTTCCAGCAGTATAGGAACGGGTTTAACGTCGAGTTAAAGTAAACAAGAATAGTTGCCATTTCACTTGTGACGACTAAGTGTGATGAGTATGTTGTACTATAAGTGACTACAATTCCCATAATATAGTATGGTGTATAACAAACAACTAAAACTGACTGTACCCACAGTGCACTATGCACTGCTTTTCTGTATCGCGCCATGTTCAGTGCATTTGGTTGGCTTGGCTGTTGTTGAAATTGTGCCTGATGATGTCTAATAGTGCGAAAAATCTTTGTGTACGAGGCGAGTGAAATAAGCAGCGAAAGTGGTATCAATATCCGGGTATACAAAGCGGTTTTACGCTGATCGAAAATGATGCGTAAAGAGGCGACAAGACATAAAACCCAGAAGCTAGCTATAGTGATATAAACACCCTTCAAATTTACAATCTCTCTATATCTCAGCCCCAATAACAGGGCGAGAAGCCTGTCCACGCTTATTACCGTCATCGTCAGCAAAGAAACTCCACATAATGCTACGCTTGTGATGTAAGCTGCTTTTATTGCGTAATGACAAAGGCTCCAGTGTTCGTGAACCACGGACATCAAATAAGTAACATAGAGAGGCTGAGCAACAAGACCAACCAACAGATCAGTTGTCGCCAGACAACGATACAAGAGTTTGGACGGCGGGTGGAGGGAAGATATTTTGTGAAGGGCAACAAGGGTAAGAGAATTACCCAGAAATGCCGTGATGGAGAGGAGAATGTTGACTGCTGGGAAAGAAACTGATGCTGATTGAAGCTCACCCATCCAAGAGGGGAGCATTGCGGTACTTTAAATGTTTTTGTCTGTGTTCCACCTCTGGTGAAATTTGTTGTCGTCATAATTCTGCATTCGTTTCCTCTGTTCTTGCTACGAGAAATATTGCGTCCAACTGAAACCTTCCTTTAATAAACACATTAAGACTTCCTCATTAGCTTTCAATCATTTAAAGTGCGTCAGAAATTTGCAGCTGTGGAATGCCTCACGTCTGAAACTGATGCTGATTGATGCCCACGCACTAAAGACGGAGACCATAGCAGCTCTTCAATTGTTTTCGTCTGTGTTCCAACTCTTTTGAAATTTGTTGCAGGTTATCGAAGATTGCAACGAGTAATATGTCGTCTAAACAGCCCACATCTAGCCACGATCAATTACACCTCATACTTCAGTTAATGACATTTATACACGTAGAGAATTCCTCATCAGCTTTAACTCATTTAAAATACGTTAGAAAATTGTCAGTTTTGTCCAAAAATTGAACCTTTAAAGTGCCTCAGGTATGAAATGGCAATAAGTAGAAAATGGAGAGACATCTGTAGTATCATTCTTTTAAAAGAACGACGAACGATCTTCTTTTACCTGGATCAACTTTCACTGATAAAGTGGTAACCTGGTGTCCATATCATTTGTGTGAAGTTCAGTCTTGTATCATTATTAGCCATGAAAAATTGGAAATAAAAATTTCAAGCTGGCGATTTTACTTTGTCTTAGAAAAGTCGGATTTGAGAAAATCTACGAATACATCAAACAATTCAAATTTAAATTTTGGTCACAGATGCAAACGTATTTTAAATGTTTGAATCAATTGTAATGACAGGTTTTCTCTTTCCGTTTTGCGTCCGCGGACTGATATTAAAAACAAAACCGTAACAAGATGTTATGCCGCCCGCCAACGATTTTTTCAAACTCGTTCTCTACCAGGAAAGTTATGATTATTTTTTTAACAAAAACTGTTTTGCCTATTTGCCTATTTCGCCCCATGATGTAATTTCCTTTCTTCTTCCTAATGGTCAACGAGATAAGAAAAATGGGCGCTAACTGAAAGTAGAGGAGGCGGAGAAACCATTGTTTTGCACCAGCCATGATGGCCCTAGGCGCTCGGTATCATTTTAATCCTAGAGATCCATCGGGTACCAAAATATTAATTTCTTTTTCGTTTGATGCCAATTTTCATATTCAAACTTTACATTTTTCATTTTCGATCTAGAATTTTCTTACAATTGCAGATATAGTTACTAACCATTCTTAAAAAATGAGTTAATCACTGAAAAGTGCGAATATTGAATCAGTTTCTTTTGTAGGTGTCTTTTTTCCTTAGAAGCTTCCTTCTCGTCTGATAACTCATTGTGGCGACGACAACTTAAAAACTAAACAAGCATATATTTGTCGCAACCAGCTGTATATTCCAGTAGGTTAAGTTGAATTTAACTTCAAATTAGCATTAAAAGTTAATTTCTTTGGCAAGCGCACAGACATCGGTAAAATTTTCGATTGACGATATGATAAGGAAACTCTCTTTTGTCAGTTTTGGAATGATAGCATAAGCGGTTTAAGCGGTATATCTAAATATACTTTAATTCTTTTGGGCCGGTAATTAAGTGCAAACATTATCCCTGTATTGTGGTAAATTCTGAATTTGAAGGCCGATGTTTATACAACGTAGTTTCATCGACATTGGGTGTCAATCACATGTCCATATCATTTGCGTAAATAATATTGAGCCATGGCCTCAGATGCAAACTTAATTAGTAACATTTTGTGGCTCTTTAACCTCCGTTTCTTCTCCGACAAAACGAGAAACAAAACAGAAGGCAAAAATTACTTTTTAAACAATTTTTCGCTGTTTCTTTTACATTCTCTATTTGTTCTCCTCCTTTCGCCAAAAGTTTTAAAGTGATTGTCTTGGAAAAATTGTAAGACGAAGCTCGCCTAAATTTTTTTCTGCCAACGCTTTCATGTATACAGCAGTAACTGAATTCTTCATGTCGTAATTCCCCTGAGCGATTGGCAATTGTCCTCCGATAACCAAAGTTATATGACTGTGTTAAATTGGACATGATATTCTATTGACCGAGAAGGAAAATGAAGGAATCGATACTTAAAAACTATCAACATTCGATAAAAATATTTAACAATTATTTGCCGAAGATGAAGTGAATAATAATTTTGTTGATTATTCCCGCGATGATGTCGAGTTAAAAACTACACCTTGTTAAACATACATAAACAGCATTTATTATTTATGAACCTACGATCACTCTTGGTTGCGTGTTAAGTAACTCCAGCGTATCTTTCAAGCTCTTCAAACTTCCTGCGTTTATCGTATATTTAATGGCCGCACAGTCACACACGAAACAACTGTTAAAAATACCCTGTCAAAGATTAGGAAAAATTAGTTAACCACCACAAACACGCCACCTCGTTTTAAGTTGGAAAAATTTTCGTTTTTGCAAAATGATTTCTCTCGATAGATTTAATATTTTATTCCGGCTTCAAATTAGTCATTTCCTTTACCAACGGAGGATTAGCTGACAGAAAAATCACCTTAATCTTAATCGCTGAAAATGCGTCAATTCCTCCCTTAACAAGAGTTCTTTCCAAGGGAATTTTCTTTCTGATCCTCTATGATAATTCAGTACCTTGAAAATTAAACAAGAACATGTTCGTCGCAACCAGCTGTTGATTTCAGTAAATAAAGTTTCAGTTTAATTTCAAATTAGCACTGAAAGTGAATTCCCTTGACAAACACAAAGACATGGGCTATGTTTTTTGTTTTACAATACGATATGGGCCTCCTAAGTCTTAAAAGATCCATTTTGTCACTTCTTTAATGGGTGAAATAAACATGTCGTTCTTTGGGCGATAATTAGATGGTATGATATTGAAGGAAAGTGTGAGCTTATATAAAGCTTTGAAAACGAATCAATAAAAAAAAAAAAAAATTGTGGAACTTCGGGACAGCAGGTAATCACTTGGAAATGGAGGAAATAAAATCCGTAAAACTCAGAGGCAACCTAAAGATACATAAGGGACAAACTGGACCTCTATGCAAATGATGTGAAACTTGTTTTTCGCTGTTGCCAATATAATTTCAGAACATTAATCGATCTGTAAAAAAGTTCTGTAACAAACAGAGATGGTCAATTTTATTCCATTTACTTTCGTAACTTTCAAATTGTCACACCAGCAAACCATTTTCTGCAACTGTAAAAGGAAAGTTATTCAATTTTTGTTCCAGCGATTCTCTTAAACAGTTGATGACTCTCCTTTAGTGATGACAATTAGTTACAAGATAATTTATTAATCGAGATGGAAAATGAAGGGATGGGCGCTCAAGGCTTATCAGCAGTCGATAAAAAATTACAATTGCTCTAGGAGAGGCTTCGTCTTTACCAACCCTGACCCATATTTCAAACTCACTAAAACTGCCACGTGCCTTTTATCGCACACTGAGGAACGAATAAGTTGTTAAGAAGACACCTGCTTGTCAAGACAGATTCGGACTTGTTTTAGGCCTCGTTTACATGACTGCGTTTCCTTCGGCTCTATAAATATATGTAAATACCTGTTTTTGAAACCTTTCAAATCTGAAAATATATATCAAACAAATATATATTTTCTTTGCTCGTCAAAAAGAGACACTTTGTGATGAGAAAAGAAAATATATACACAGACTATTTAATATATTTTTTCAAATAGCAACGTTTTCGAAAATGGATTTATATATATATTTAGATATTAACTTTAGATCCATTGTTTTATTTTCGGACGGGAAAATTGCTGATAGACAAACAAACAACTCGTTCAATTCTTTAATACAGAGCAGGAGTTTTATCCTGGAAATTTTAATTCCTCCGAATAGCGACTGCAGCCGATCGAACCACTAGCGCGTTTGGGTGGACTGCGACAAGTTTCTAATCTGAATCAGTGAATTTAAATTTAAGTACAAATTAGCACTAAAAGTTAATTTCTTTGACAAACAAATAGATTAATAATACCTTTTTTAAATGATAAAATAAACAGTATATTATGATAAGATGTCATTTAAGGGCCGATTATTAAATATAAATATTCTCCCTTTACTGAGGACAATACTAAGCAATTACGGGGAAAAGTTAGCCTATGTGACCCTGTGATATAATATCCTTTCTTCCTGCGTCTTGTTAGTGAGATAATAAAGGTGTTTTTGTATAAAGAAAGCTCTCGTGTAAACGGCAGGTAACTTTGTGATGCTCTGGGGCAATTTTCAAAATTCTACTTTGATTGCAACGGTTACATCGTAATACTGAAGTGAAGAAAACAATTTATAAGTGGTGGTCCAAAATCAATAGACGTATGCTAAGGAATTATCAAAACTCGCCGCACAGATCTTCAATTCTACCTTCATCAGCAACATTTACTTCAGAACTCCCTCACTAGCGTTTACTCTTTGAAAAGACTATTGACAAAAGATAGACGTACAACGATTCTACTGAACTTCTATTTCTTCCGCTTAATCAATAATATTTTTGACGAGCGTTCCCTAATAATAATCGTGACTTAATAATGAAAGTCTTACAAAACCAAACCGAGGAGGAGGTAACGCTACGGACAGCAAAGTGCTTCTCTGATTGCCTGTTTCACTGCTTGTTTTACTTCACTAATTTTCTAGCAGTAAAGAACGGATATAACTTCAAGTTAAAGTAAAGTAAGACAATTGATACTCTCCATAAAACGACTAGGTGTGACTGATATGTTTTACTATAGATTGGTCCGCAACAAACAACTAACGCTAACTGCAGCTCCAGTGGTACACAGCCTCTCTGTGTCGCGCCAACCGAACAGCGACTGCATCTTAACCAGTAAACAGTTTGTGTTAACCCCTTTAACTCCCACATCAAATTTGTATTTCTCCTTACCATCAGTCATACAATTCTCATAATGTTAGTCCAGAGAATATAGTATTGGATCAACTAATTATCCCCAAATTGACATTTTTCTTGATTCTCACCACTAATCTGGTTGGTTTTGTATTGATATTGTAAGGAGAAATTCTGTCATGGTAACTCATGGGATTTAAAGGGTTAATTAATTAAGATATGAAGCACGCAGGAAGCTGAGGAGACATCATCCAGCCATGACACCCTCGGCCTCGTTTTGAGTACGAAATTTCATCAAATACTAAATTATTCATTTCGTAACATATTTACTTTTCTTTCGACTCTACATTATTTATTTTAACTTTTAAACCATTATTTTATTCATCGATGGGGAAATAGCTGAGAAGCAAACCACACGAGTGCCTTCAAAAAAAAAAAAAATGCAACAACTTATTTGATTCTTGTGTAAAGTTCTTTTCTCGGCAATTCGCCTTCCCATTTATCTCTTCTTTAATTATTCCGAATAGCGACTACAACGACTGTGTTGCCCATTTATCACTTCACAGTGATAAATGGGCAACACAGTGGTCAAAGATTACGCATGCGCATTTAGATGGGTGATTTGCTATTATAAACTTTTAGAATCTAAGTGATGCGTAGCTTTTTGCTGTTTCTTGGGAAAGTTCTAAAGTTTCTAAGGCCTTTACACTCTCGTGCTTTTTTTTTACACTTTGCTTAGCGGTGTAAATGAAGTCGTAAGCTTGGCCATGCTGGCGAGGGTAAAAGTAAGCTTCTCTAATTTGCCTTCATCGCCGGAACGAGGCATCTGCGTTAAAAATAAGTTGAAATATCTCAACATAAAATAAGACCAAGATTTAAGCTTTCTCCGAAAACCCTCTTTCAACTGTATTACGCATTCAATTTGGAAAAGTTAGGAATTTAACCTTTCCTTCTTCACTTCACGTAATACACACGTTTGCAAATCCCTCCTATTCTTTTCAAAACACGTGCATGCACGGTGTTTGACCGCTGTGAGTAAGATGGTCTAACTCCATGGAAAGCAAAGTGCTTGTCTGATTGTCTGCTTCATTGCTTGTCTTTTCTTCCCTAATCTTCCAGCAGTAAAGAAACGGGTTTAACGTCGATTTAAAATAAATCAAGACAACGGTCATTCCCCTTAGGGTGACCCAATGAGATGAATGTGTTTTACTATGTGCAATCGCGGTTACCACTATGAAGGATGGTGCAAAACAAACAACTACTGCTAACTTCACCCACAGTAAATCTTTGATGTAATCTTAGGGTGCCTAGCAGTTCTTCAAATGTTTTCGTTTGTGTTCCACCGCTAGTGAACTCTGTTGTCGACATTGCTCTGTATTCGTTCCTTTTTTCTTGTACTGAGGTAACTAGAAACAAGAAATATTTCGTTTAGACTGCATACGCCGAGCGACGATGACTGAAACTTCCTTCAATAAACACATAGAGACTTCCTCATCAGCGTTTGCTCATTCAAAGTACGTAAGAAAATTGTTTGTTGTGCCAAAGAGTTGATTTCTTTTTATCCGGAACCTGTGATGAGCCTCTTGTATGAAATAGCAGCAAGAGGCAAACAGAGAGACAACTGTGATATCATTTTTATGGGGCGAAAAACATCCTTTTTTTCAGCTGATCGACCGTTGGAACATGTGGGGTGGCTCACGGATGAAATAGCAGTAAAAGGAAAAAATAGAGACATTGTAATATCAGTTTTTCTCAATCAAAATGCGATAAACAATCCCTCAGATTCAAGCTACTTTTTAATATTTGAATTAAATCACGTTTTCATGGTTTGATGCATATGGAGATTTCACGAGTCCAAATTTTCTTACATCATTCAAAGTTGCCAGCTTGATCTTCGTAATTTCAGTTTGTCGAGGCTGATAATGATTGAAGTATTAATTTCACACAGATGATATGGACACTTGATTAGCTCCCTTTCAATGAAAGTTCATTAAGAAAAGTCACCAGAATGGGAAAAAAATAGCTTCAAGAGTCAAACGTACAGACAGACATCTTTGATACTATTAGCATTTCACAATTATTTTAAACGCCGTCCTCTCAGGTACGTAGAAATTCACCTTTAGCTGAGCGGAGAAGATGAAGTATAACGTTTAATCTCGGAAAGTTAAAGATTTTGAAAAGAATTCAAAAAGAAAAGGAAAGTTTTGATTTAAATCCATGCACCCACTTACACAATGTTTGTTTTATTACATCATTATCAATTACATTTTAAAACATTCATAAGCTACATGGATATTTTTTTGATGAAAAAAAAAAATTACGTTTACAACTTTTTATAACAAGGACAAGAGAGTTGTCAGGAGATGCTGTGATGGAGAGGAGAATGTAAACCGCAGGGAAAAAAAATTGTTGGTTGATGCAACTCATCTACCAAACAAGTGGATAAAGCCATTGTTTCTTTCGCTTTCTTATAGAGTATAAGTTACGTCATGAGATTGTAAGAGATTATATATTCTCTTGTGCAAGTATATCTTTCCTTTAATTAATGATTGATGCATGCAAAGTAAAGTTTGGTAGCATGTAAAATACTTTTTAAAAGTTTTGGTTTGTGTTTCCATTACCTTTCCTTTAATTTGTTTTACGTGACTAGCAAAAAATACTATCGACAGACCTCGAGCAAAAATTTAAGCGACGAGCGTTCTCTATCGGTCAGCTTTGCGCTAAAAGTATTTATGCGGAGGTGTATAACTCGAGGATGGTCTAACTCCATGGACAGCAAAGTGCATGTCGGATTGTCTGCTTCATTGCTCGTCTCGCTTTAGTAATCTTCCAGCAATAGAGAAAAGGGTTTAACGTCGAGTTAAAGAAAACTAATACCCCATTCACACCAGCAAAACATGTTTTGTTAAACTGGTTTTCATTGAATGAAAATTATAAACAGAGAACTGAAAAACTTGATTTTCCATTGGATTCAAGTACTTGCTAACTTGCATTTCCAATGTGCTACATTCAAGTAAAAAATATTCGGTTAAATAGTTTCTATGAAGAAAAAAAAAATTAAACTGTGTTTAACAAAACAACTTTTAAACATGTTTAAGCTTTGGTGTGAATGGGGCATAAGATAACTTCCATTGCCAATGCGATGCCTAATTGTGATGAGTATTGTATTTGTGTCTCAGCCCTGCCAACGGGTGAGAAGTCTGTCCACGCTTATTGCCGCCATCGTCAACAAAGAAACTCCACATAATGCTGAGCCTATGATGTAGGCTGCTGTCTCTTCGTAATAACAAAGAGTCCAGTGTTCGTGAACCACGGACATCCAACAGGTAACATAGAGAGGCTGAGCACTAAGACCATCCAACAGATCAGTTGTTGCCAGACAACGATACAAGAGTTTGGACGGCGCATGGAGGGCAGATTCCTTGTGAAGGGCAACAAGGATAAGAGAATTGCTAAGAAATGTTGTGATGGAGAGGAGAATGTTGACTGATGCGAAAGATGCTGGTTGAAGCCCACCCACCAAAGAGGGGGAGCATAGCAGTTCTTCAGATGTTTTCGGCAGTGTTCCACCTCTGGTGAAATTTGTTGTCGACATAATTCTGCATTCGTTTCCTCTGTTCTTGCAACGAGAAATATTTCGTCTAACTGAAACCTTCCTTTAAAAAAAAAAAGACTTCCTCACTAGCTTTCAATCATTTAAAATGCCTCAGAAATCTGTAGCTGTGGGATGCCTCAGGCAGAAAACTGATGCTGATTGATGCCCCCCGCTTAAGAGGGAGAGCATAGGACTTCTTCAATTGTTTTCGTCTGTGTTCCAATTGTTATGGAATTTGTTGTAGGCTATCTAAGATTGCAATGAGTAATATGTCGTCTAAACAGCCCACAACCAACCACGATCAATGACACCTCATACATCAGTTAATAGTATTCATACACATGGACTAATTCCTCATCAGCGTTAACTCATTTAAAATCGTCAGAAAATTGTCTGTTGTGTCCACTTATTGAACCTTTGAAGTGCCTCAGGTATAAAATGGCAATAAGTAGACAATGGAGAGACATCTGTAGTATTATTCTTTTAAAAGAACGACGAACAATCTCCTTTTACTTGGATCAACTTTCACTGATATAGTGCTAACCTGGTGTCCAAATCATTCGTGTGAAGTTCAGACTTGTATCATTAGTAGCCATGAAGAATTGGAAATAAAAATTTCAAGCTGGCGATTTTACTTGGTCTTAGAAAAGTTGGATTGGAGACAATCTGCGAATACATCAAACAATTCAAATTTAAATTTTGGTCACAGATGAAAACGTATTTCTAAATGCTTGAGTCGATTTGTAAAGACGTGCTTTTTTCTTTCCGTTTTGTTTTGCGTCTCCGGACTTATATTAAAAACAAAACCGTAACAAGATGGTATGCCCCGCGCCAAACCATTTTTTTAAATTCGTTCTTTACCAGCCTTTTTTCCTTTCGTCAGGAAAATTATAATGGTGTTTTTTTTAACAAAAACTGTTTTGCCTACTTTGCCTATTTCGCCCCATGATTTAATTTCCTTTCTTCATCCCTTTGGTCAACAAGATAAGAAAAATAGGCGTTAACTGAAAATAAAGGAGGCGGAGAAACTATTATTTTGCACCAGCCATGATGGCACTACGCGCTCAGTATCGTTTTAATCCCAGGGTTCCATCAGGTACCAAAATAATCATTTCTTTTCGTTTGATGCTAATTTTTGTTCCAACTTTACATTTGTCATTTTCGATCTACAATTTTTCTTCTTTTAAAGTTAATTCCTTTAGCAAGCACACAGACATGGGTCAGTAATATTTCTGTTTGACGATATGATAAGGAAACTCTCTTTTGTCAGTTTTTGATTGACAGCATAAGCGGTTTAAGCGGTATATTTAAATATACTGTCATTCTTTTGGGCCGGTAATTAAGTGCAATCATTATCCCTGCATTGTGATAGATTCTGAATTCCGAAAAAGCTTCGGGAAATGAGTTCAAGGAGAAAAGGAGAGAAAGTTAGGAACAGTTAATCACTCGGAGTTGGTAGACATAGGATCAATAAAACTTGAAGACAACTTAAACATAGACCAGCATTAAACGGGATATATCAACTATTTCAAAAGTTGACAATATTCTTGTCATGAGTTAATCTGTGATAGCAACCAGAAAAATATTTCATTTAGTTAACGCCAATTGCACAAGAACGATCCCTGAAACCCTATTTCCTATATAACATTTCAAATAAAAACCTACTCACTATTGTTTACACGTTTGAAATACGTCATAAAATTGTTCGCTGTGTCAAAAAAGCCTTTTTTGTGCTTAACTTGTCATGTACATCATGTATGAAATAGGAATAAGTAGCAACTATTCAAAGACATCTTTAAAATTATTATTTCGTGTTGCAACAAACAATCCCGCTTTATAATTATTTTGCGAGAAGGCACTCAATATTATGGCTTTAATGCGAATTGAATAAGTTTGAGGATGTAAGGCTACAGATGCAAACTTATTTTAAGATATTTAAATTTAACTGTGTGATTGGTAAAATTTTTTGGCTCTTTTATCTCCGTTACGTTTCCGGGATAACGAGAAACAAAACAAAAGAAAAGCAAGAAATTACGTGTTCAAAAAATTTTTTTGCTGTTTCTTTTACATTTTCTTTTTGTTCTCCTCCTTTCGCCATCAATTTTGCAGCGATTGTCCTGGAAAAATTACTCTCCGATAACCCGAGTTACATGCATGGCTACGCTAAAGTGAACATGATAATCTATTGATCGAGAAGGAAAATGACGGAATGTATACTTAAAAACTATCAAACAATCGATAAAAATATTTAAGAATTATTTTCAGAAGATGAAGTAAATGTTGTTGAATAATTCCCGAGACGAATAAACCTACATTAACAGCATTTATTATTATTTATTGTTAAGCAACTCCAATGTATCTTTCAAGCTCCTCAAACTTCCTGCATGCATCGTATATTAATGACCGCGCACAGACGCACGAAACAATCGTTAAAAATACTCTGTTTAAGATTAGGAGAAATTAGTTAACCACCACAGACACGCCGCCTCGTTTAAGTTTGGGGTCAAAGCAAATTTTGTTTTTGCAGAATAATTGCTCTTTATAGATTCAAAATTTAGATCGGCTTCAAATCAGTCATTTCATTTACCGACGGAGGATTAGCTGACAGAAAAACTAGATGAATGACTTAATTAATTGCTAAGAGATGCGTTAATCCTTCCTCAGAAAGAGTTCTTTCCCTGGGAATTTTCTTTTCAGTACAGCGACGGTAGCTTTAAAACTAATCAAACAAAAAGATGTTTGTCGCAACCAGCTGTTGATTTTACTAGATAACGTTTCAGTTTAATTTCAAATTAGCATTGAAAGGGAATTTCCTTGACAAACACAAAGACATGGGCTATATTTTTTTGTTTTACAATACGATATGAGACTCCTTAGTCTTAAAAGATCTATTTTATCACTTCTTTAATGGGTGAAATAAACCTGTCGTTTTTAGGCCGCAATTAGCAATTAATTAAGTCATTCATCTAGTTTTTCTGTCAGCTAATCCTTGAAGCAAATTCTGAGCTCATACTAAAGCTTTGAAAACGAATAAAAAAAAAACATTTGAGGAACTTTGTGACAGCAGTTAATCACTCAGAAATGGAAGACATAAAATTCGTAAAACTCAGAGACAACCTAAAGATACACCAGCAACAAACTGAACATATGGTGACCTCTATACAATGATACGAAACTTATTTTTCGCCGTTGCCAATATAACTTCAGCACATCGATCGATCTGTAAAAAAATTCCGTAACAAACAGAGATGGTCAATTTTATTTCATATACTTTCGTAACTTTCAGTTAAATATACAAGAAAAAATAAACTTCTTCACATAAGCTTTACGGATAATTTTCTGACCACAAAACAAACAAATTCTAGACTTAAACTGGACTGTCTCTTTTGGCAATATGGCGTCAACATCAAAGTCAAGCGCTTTCTTTTAATTACAGGAAAAATGAGTCGAAATAGTTTTCTCGAAACACGCAACATCGGCCTCAAACACATCTCTTAAACTCCTCTTCGAAGTTTTATCTGATACCTTCATACTGCTAAGAGGAGAAAACATGAAAGTAAAATGTTTGCATATCTTTTCTTCGATTATGACATCTTGTATTTTAGCATAGCGGCAAGAAACCATATTTTTGAAAACACATACTACCGTTACCTAGTCTGTCGTTAAATTTTTCTCAGAGATATAAAGACTATCGACAACAGCCTGTGCAACTATATATTCTATTGAGCCACTAATTTACTTTTATCCAATAAAGTATTTAACGACTGCTCTCAATAATAATTGTGACTTAATAGGTCTGCTTTCAAAGTCTGAGGAACAACTCGAGGATGACCTAACTCAGCAAAGTGCTTCTCTAATTGCCTGCTTCATGGCTTGTCTCACTTCACTAATCTTCCAGCAGTATAGGAACGGGTTTAACGTCGAGTTGAAGCAAAGTAAAATAATTGCTACTTTATATATGACGAATAAGAGAAATGAATATTTTTGGTATGAGCGATCACAATATTCACTGTACATAGTGGTGCATAACAAACAACTAATGCTAACTGCACCCACAGTGCACTGTATACTGCCTCTCTGAATCGCGCCATGTTCAGTGCATTTGTTTGGCTCGGCTGTTGTTGATCTCGTACTTGTGCCTGGTGATATCTGAGAGTGCAAAAATCTTTGTGTACGATGCGAATGATATTACCAGGCAAAATGATATAACTAAGGAGCTGTACATAAAGAATATACGGTGATAAAAAAAATCCACTTTAAAGAGGCGACAAGGTTAAAACCCAAAAGGTAGTTACAATAATATACGTGCGCTTCAAAGTTACAATTTGTTTGTATCGCAGTCCCAACAACAGGGCGAGAAGTCTGTCCACGCTTATGGCCGTCATCGTCATCAAAGACACTAAAAAACAATACATAGCCTGTGATGTAGGCTGCGTCCCTTACGCATCGACAAAGGCTCCAGTGTTCTTGAAACACGGACATCCAATATAGAGCACTGATAGGCAGGGAAGTAAGACCAACTAACAGATCAGTTGTTGCCAGACAACAATACAGGAGTTTGGACGGCGGATGCAGGGGAGGATTCCTTGTGAAGTGCCACAAGGATAAGAGAATTTCCAGTAAATGCTGTGATGGAGAGGAGAATGTCAACCGCTAAGAAGCAAATTGATTGTTGTTGAAGCCCACCCATCAAAGAGGGAGAGCATAGCAGTTCATAAAATGATTTCGTGTGACTTCTACCGCTACTGAAATTTGTTGTCGACATAATTCTGTCTTCGGCGTTTCCCTTTTCTTATAGGTTTCTGTTCTTGCAACGAAAAATGACAGCAAGGATTACTGTAGCTTTACTTCCTAAATAACAATCGCATACTGACTTACTCATTTAAAATGCATCAGGAAATTTTCGATTGGATCAAAAAAAAAATTTTTCCCAGGAACCTTTGGGTGCCTCTGTTATGAAATAGCAATAAAAAGGCAATTATAGAAACATCTGTTATTTCAGTGTTTTTGCAGGGCGGCAAAGAGTCGCTCTTTATCAGAATTAAATTTCATTATAATAGGATGCAAATCAAGGGTCCATTCCTTTCGTGTGAAGTTGAGACTTGAATCATTATCAGCTACGGAAAGCTAAAAATGCAAAAGCTCACTCTGGTGATGTCAATTGTACTAGGAGAAAACTTGAATTTGTGACAATCACCCAATGTACTAGGTAGAAAACACAATTATTCAACTATGCAAACTTGTTTCAAAATATTTGAAATTAACTGTGTATCTACCTTCGCTTTGTAGTTTTTTTTTTTCTCTCCGTTTCGTGTCCGACTAGAATTAACAATAAAACAGTAACAGGATCAAGTTATCCCTTTGGCAAAACATTTTCTACAACTGTAAAAGGAAAGTTATTCATTTTTTTGTCCCTGCGATTCTATTGAGCAATTAACGATTCTACTTTGGTGATAACAGTTAGTTTCCAATTATGAAGTAGACAGGATAATTTATTAATCGAGATGGAAAATGAAGGGATGGGCGCTCAAAGCTTAACAACAGTCGATGAAAAATTTACAATTGTTCTAGGAGAGGCTTCGTCTTTACCAACTCTGACCCATATTTCAAACTCTCTAAGATTGTCTCGTGCTTTATATCGCACACTGAGGAACGAATAAGTTGTTAAGATGACACCTGCTTGCCACGACAGATTCGGACTTGCAGTAGGCCTAGTTTACATGATTACGTTTGTCGACGTTATACATATAAGTAAATACCCGTTTTTAAAAACCTTTCAAATTTGAAAATAAATATCAAATAAATTTATCTTTTCTTTTCTCATCAAAAAAAGACACCGTGATGAGCAAAGAAAATACACACACACACACACATATATATATATACATAGACCATTTAATATATTTTTTTCAAATAGCAGCATTTTCGAATATATAAACCATTTTTCGAAAATGCTGCTATTTGAAAAGATATATTAAATGGTTAACGTTTATATTTATATATTAACTTTAGATCCATTGTTTTATTTTCGGACGGGAAAATTGCTGATAGACAAACCAACAACTCATCCAATTCTTTAATACAGAGTAAGAGTTTTATCCAGAAAATTTTCAATTTCTGCAGCTGATCAAACTACTAAAAGCGTTTGTGTGGGCTGCGACAAGTTTTTAATCTCAAAGGTATTCAGTTTTAGTACAAATTAGCACCAAAAGGTAATTTCGTTGACAAACAAATAGACATCGGTTGTATTACTGTTTGACAATACGATAGGAAAACTTCCTCTATTGAAGACAGTACTAAACAATAACGAGGAAAAGTTAGCCTATGTGACCCTTTGATCTAATTTTCTTTCTTCCTACGTCTGGTTATTGAGATAATAAAAGTGTGTTTTTGACCAAGAAAGCTCTCGTGTAAAAGGCAGGTAATTTTGCGATGCTCTGGGGCAAATGTCAAAATTTTCCTTTCATCACAACGGTTACATCTTAATACTGAAGTGAACAAAACAATTTATAAGTGGGTCGAAAATCAATGGACGTATGCTAAGGAATTATCAAAACTCGCCGCACAGTTGATCAATTCTACCTTCATCAGCAACATTTACTTCAGACTCCCTCACTAGCGTTTACTCTTTGAAAAGACTATTGACAAAAGATCGACGTACAACGATTCCATTGAACTTCTAATTTTCTCCGCTTAGGCAATAATATTTTGACGAGCGCTCCCTAACAATTATCGTGACTTAAAGAAAGTCTTACCAAACCAAACCGAGGAGGAGGTAACGCTAAGGACGGCAAAAGTACTTCTCTGATTGTCTGTTTTACTGCATGTCTTACTCCCCAAATTTTCTAACAGCAAAATACGGATATAACTTCAAGTTAAAGTAAAATAAGACAACTGATACTCTCCATACAACGACTGAGTCTGATTGATATGTTTTACTTTAGATTGGTGCGCAACAAACAACTAACGCTAACTGCACCCGCAGTGCACTCTACACAGCCTCTCTGTATCGCGTCAACCGAATAGCGACTGCATCTTAACTAGTAAATAGTGTGTGTTAACCCTTTAACTCCCAGATCAAATTGTTATTTCTCCTTACTATCAGTCATACAATTCTTATAATGTTAGTCAAGAGAATATATTATTGGATCAACTAATTATCCCCAAATTGATATTTTTCTTTACTCTCTCAACTTATCTGTTTGATTTTGTATTGATATTGTAAGGAGAAATTCTGTCTTGGTCACTCATGGAAGTTAAAGGGTTAATTAATTAAGATATGAAGCACACAGGAAACTGAGGAGACATCATCCAGCCATGACACCCTCGGCCTCGTTTTGAGTACGAAATTTCATCAAATACTAAATTATTCATTTCGTAACATATTTACTTTTCTTTCGACTCTACATTATTTATTTTAACTTTTAAACCATTATTTTATTCATCGATGGGGAAATAGCTGAGAAGCAAACCACACGAGTGCCTTCATTGTAAAAAAAAATGCAACAACTTATTTGATTCTTGTGTAAAGTTCTTTTCTCGGCAATTTTCCTTCCCATTTATCTCTTCTTTAATTACTCCGAATAGCGACTGCAGCTTGACTGGAAAACAGTTAGAAATAAGCAACACAGCGGTCAAATGATTACGCGTGCGCTTTTAGATGGATAATTCGCTATTCTAGACATTGAGAATCCAAATGATGCGTAGTTTTTTGCAGTTTCTTAGGAAAGTTCAAAGTTTCTAAGGCCTAGACTTATACACTTTGTTGCTCTAGACTTAACCCATGTGGTTCTAGTTTACACTCTCGTACTTTTTTTTTAAACTTTGTCTAGCGGCGCGATGAAATCGTAAGCCTGGACGTGCTGGCGGTGGTTATTCCTTATTGTATTTATGGTGGAGTTGCCGTCATCACCGAGGGAAATGTGTGAAAAAAGGAAGAACCAGTGCTACATAAGATATTGGTGACGATAACAGGTCTATGTTATGATAGTAGACTGTGTAGCGAGGGTAGAAGAAAGGTTCTGTCATTTGATTTAGACCAAGATTTAAGTTTTCTCCGAAATCCCTCTCGCAACTGTATTACGCATTCAATTTGGAATAGTTAGGAAATTAACCTCTCCTTCTCCACTTTACGCAGAACACGCGTTTGAAAATCCCCCGTATTCTTTTCAAAACACGTGCATGCGCAGTGTTTGACTGCTGTGGTTGAATTGGCCGCTACTAGCTGTTTACTCCAATCAATAAAATTTAATTCGAGCACTAATTAGCGCTAAAGTCAAATCCCATGGCAAACATGAAGATATCAGCTATATTGTTGTTTTCAAAACAGTAAAGGAACTTGAGTGTGACTTTTTCTAAGTAATGAAATAATCAGCATATTTAGTCCAATTTTAGTCCAATCACGGGTCCAATTTTTTTTTACATCATTCAAAGTTGCCCGCTTGATCTTCGTACTTTCAGTTTGTCGAGGCTGATAATGATTGAAGTCCTAATTTCACACAGATGATATGGACACTTGATTAGCTCCCCATCGATGAAAGTTCATAAGGAAAAGTGACTAAAATAGCAACAAATTACCTTAATTTAAGAGTCAAACGTAAAGATAGACATCTATGATACTATTAGTATTTCGAAATTATTTTAAACTCCGTCTTCTCAGGTAGAAATTCACCTTTAGCTGAGCGGAAGAGATGGAGTCTTACGTTTAATCTCGGAAAAATTTAAGAGCTAATGTCAACAAACATTAGACAAACAGCGGCAAGTCACCCAAAATTGTTTTCACTCATACTTTCATATTTTGTAGCCCAATATGTCCTAATAATTGTGGTGTAGATTTTTGTGAGAATATATTTTCTTTTTCGAGAAATAATTTTTTTAGCTCGACCGCTCAAATATGCAAATTTTACCGTGAATGTTACTCGAGTTGTGTGACCTCGTGTAACGAATATACTTGACCTCCGCTATTTCTGACAACATAATCCTTTGTTGTATCATCTAAACTTAATCCCCTGTCATTATTGAAGCTGGAAAAGAAACATTTATTTTTTGGTGAATATTTTTGTCCGAAATACTTTTTCTATGTCGAAAAGTAGCATCAAGACAAAGACAGTTTAAACAATGACCGATATGACAAAATCTACTGAGCTTCTAGCTTTTGAAATACAAAAGGATGGTTATGAAGTTACTGTAAAAATTTCCTTGTGTATTTGTGTTGTTCTAACGTGAGACGAACTCAAAGCCGGACAAAATATACTTGCTAGCGACTATGAAATATACATGGTGCCTACTTGTCACCACCGTTTACTGGCATAAATCACTACAATTTACGAAAAAGTTTTGCAAGTTTTCAGATGCTGAAAATGAAGTTGATCTGACTTTGACGCGAGCCGGCATCTTCAAGACGCCGAAAGATATCGATGATTTGACAATTTGCCCCACTCATAGATCAAATCTTGGTGTTGGGTGGAGTCGTGGTTCCAATA